TACTCTTCTGAGTACATATTAACAAACAACTTCCCTGATGTTACAATAGCCAGTCATTTATAGTGCCCTCATCTTCCATACTTTTACCTATGGCAATATTATACAGCATTCTTGTGTTGCAGGTATTGTATATGTGAAGGTTGCAAGTGGCAATTTTGGTGCCTCCTTGGATAAATGGTTGCCTGTGAATGCAGAAGAGTAGGCTTAATGGCTTAGGAGGCCCCTTATGATCTTATGTTTCTGAGGATCCTTTTCTTTTCTGCAGCATAATATCCTTATCTATTTGCACCACTGGTATGGTGCTTTTGTGTTTACTCTTTTGAAGGGGAAAGACAAGCAGCCTTAGGAGAATGTTCCCCTTTTAAACTTTGTTTTAGTATGAAGCATGAACTGAAGGTGCACATTTTTCCATCTTTTGACTTTTTTGTACCAACCTATGTCCTTAAGAGGATCCTTTCTAAAACTTTTTGTTTCTTTACTTGATTTTAATTCTTTTCTAACTGAAAAGCTTGACAGTTAATGGAATGTTTCTCCCCAGCATACATGAATGGGGGTAGAGCAAATATGACCAAAAACGTGTTCTTAATGGTGAAAAACATTATACTTTGTCTGTATGTTCCTTTGCTCTGACTCTCAGACAACAAATGAAATTTGGTGCCAGAGCAGATTTTGTACGGTAAAAGAAATTCTCTGTTGGTGTACGTTCGTATAGTTCTGTTGAGATCAGAACAGCACCAATTTTTACCAACAGGGAGTTTGCTAACCAATTTGCTAGCCTTTTGCTTCAGTCTATAGTATATACTACTTTATGCCATATTTGACGCATTCCTTTCTTATCTAAAAATTTGGAAATGAAATATGTTAATAGCCTCTTGAATATTCAGCCGCACTGATAGCTGGAAAATTGTTACCTGAAAACCAAATCTTGGGTCTTGGTGTCAGCTGCTTTCTGGGAATTCAGGCAGACAAGGTTCTTTGGGTAAATGTGATATCTTTCATTGGACCAACTAAATAGTTGGGAAAATATTTCACAGAAGAAGGGCACAAGCACCCTTCTTCAGGAATAGGGAGAGTCTGCTGGCGTTTGTGTATTCTCCTGGGTGGGATAGAAGCTTAAGCCAATATGCAAAATGCAGGTCTGTGAAAATACAAGTGCCTGGTAGGGAAATTCAGAGTGGATAGGAGTTAATAGGTGCGACAGGTAGAGGTTGGAGGGTGGGGGGGAGAGGGGAATGTTGACTGGTGATAAAATGTAGCTGGTAAAATGTAGAGGTTACCTGGGGTTATCGAGAGTTCTGGGAATTCAGTCATTTGAAACAGCAAGATAATTGTGCCAATAAGTCAGCTAAGGATTTTCCTGACATGGAATCCATGGGAGGCCCAGAACTGGCATTGGAAGATTTGGCCAATAGGATGCCCCTTAATGCCTTCTAGGCACATGGGATGTTTTTGCCTGTCAGTTTTGAGGAAGAGTGCACAATATTATACCTGATTTTTGTCTCAACAGTACTTCTCTCCCAGGCATGACTTAGAAGCGCTTCAGAGTTATCTCTGTGTCATCCAGAGTTTTTTTTATGTGTTTTCAATAGATTTGTAGCACTGTAGAACAGTTCATTGTCTGCTCACTTTTAAGCTACTTGAAAGTACTACACACATTACCCTAAGCACTACGTCCATACCCTACATTCCAAAGAGTAGTTTCATAGTTTCATAGTTGGTAGGGTCAGAAGGGACCTAAGCAGGTCATCAAGTCCAAACCTCTGCCATGGGCAGGAAAGAATGCTGGGGTCAAACGACCCCGGCTAGGTGATTGTCTAGCCTCCTTTTGAAGATCCCCAGGGTAGGGGTGAGCACCACTCATAGGTGGAGCTGTTTCAGGCCCTCAAAAGCCTAATTTCAGGTGGGTAGAAAGGAAGTTTAAAACCAGATTAGGGATAAACTCTGCGCTTGTGAAGGTTTGGTCTTGATCTGTCATTAAAAAAAAACTTTTCAGTGGCTTTCACTTTCATATATTCTAGTTTTAAAAGGCAAAATAGACTTTGGAACCATTTATCTAGTCTAATGTCTAGTTGAGCACTGAACAATACTACTTATTGCAAAGCCAGAATTTTCCTTCTGGCAACAGGGAGGTAGGTGATGATAAACTTCTAAACCCTGAAGAAGAATGACCTGCATTTAGAAGCTTGTTTAAATCTATCCAAACCATGTAGTTAGTCCAAAATAAAAGATATCAGCAACAAAAATCTTTACCCCTCATATATTTCCTGGCCCATCACAGCTACAAACACTCCAACACTTCTTTATATATTTTTGTTGTGTTGCTATTGTTTATAGGGAAGGACTGCCTTACACTGGCTATGTAATAATGGCTACCTGGATGCTATAAAGTTGCTGCTGGGCTTTGATGCTTTCCCTAATCACATGGAAAACAGCGAAGAAAGGTACATTTTATTAAATATGTTGTTTTCTAAATTATAAGACATGCTAGCCTCTGTTTTGAGTGTCAGATTTAAATATCACATAAGAAGCATGAACCTGATCATGTCTAAAAAACACTGGTATAGTTTTAGGGCAGCAAATAATATGAAAACCTCTCTGTTAAAATCTCCATTTTTTACATACAACTTTTCAGACTCTGGTTATAGGTCTCTATTGTACTTTTAGGCCGTGGTCTTGCAAAGACATCTGCGTGTAATTGATTTTACCCTCTGTGAGTTGCACATTGTAGCCAAAGGTTGCCTTTGCATGTGACGTTAGGCATGAACATAAAGCTTTGCAGAATCAGCACCTTGGACAAGAACAGTGACATATTTGTGGAATGTTACATGCCTAATACATCTTAACAGAGTTAGAAAAATGAGTCCTTTCCCTTTTGTCCACCTTGTTCCTAGGTGATTCTTTTTCATATATCCATTTAATACCGCTAAATCCTCTTTCTAGAATTATCTGCCATCTTCTTTCTTCTACATTTTCACTGAAAATGAAGGATGCAAAGCTGACACCATATGCATATGGTGGCAGTCCTGCTCCCATGTAAGTTAAATTAATTTTTTCCATTCAGTTTATTCGGGGCAATCAGGTAAAAAAAGAAGGGAAATTGTAATTAAAAATAGTTATTGCAAATTACCTGGTGGTTTAACTGTATTTCTGATGTTCCAACTGAAGAGAAATCCCTTCATAATTATGGGGAGGTGATAAATTTGCATCTGTTTTCTTTGTTTGTGACTGACAGTTTTTAATAATACAGTTTTAAAAAATGATTTAGGTTGTGATAGTTTAAAGTGGTCATGTGACTGTGCCAGTAATTAGCAGTAGCATGCATTTGGTGGCTCTTTTAAAGAAGATGACCTCATCACAATCATAAAAAAATATGGATCAATATGCCAAATAAATTTGAATACATCAACATTTTAAAAACCATTAGAATTATTTAAAATCTGATATATACTAGTGTTGTAGGGGTTTTGGCTTCCATCCTGTTCCCCTTATTTTTTTTAATTGCCTTGTTTCCCCCTATCATTTATCTTTTGTTCCCTATTCTGACCACTGAGACCTTGCTTCCCCTCTTGCTTAGCAATTTACTTTCATTTTTCTATTGACAACTACAATTGAAGGCATGAAGTAGCTCCCAGGTATGTTCTCCTAATGTTTTCTATAGTGATTTTCAGTAGAAAATGAAAATAAACAGCTGTAATTTAATTTCTTTTAATTTAGATGAATAAAAACAGCTACTGTATCAGAGGACTGGGCAGCTAGCCGGGATTCTACCTTTTTATAAGAAATGGGTCAGTGGTGCTCAAACTTCATTTTTACGTTAGTAATGCCATAACCATTTTGTTAGTGTCTAGGGAGCATTACTGTTCCACTCCGGGCATTGGCATGCACTTGTACCCCTAGATTTTAGATTCAGATATACCTCCACCCTGTGGAGGTTAGGCCACTCTTATATCTGATCCAATATAAGAGTGGCCTAACTGTAGCATATGAGCCACTATTTGACTCCTGGGAAGCATATGTGCAGCTCCTGAAGAAAGACAAGTTAAATAAAAACATTATTTTGGTCTTTATCTGTTTGTTTACTCTTTCCTATTTTTTATTTTCTTCAGATTTTGCATTTTAATTATTCTGAGAAGTCACTGCATGACAAATTATTATGTGAACTGGGGTGCAGTGCATGGATCACTGGCTCTGAGCCACATGCACCTTGAACATTTTCAGTCCTGCAGGCTACCAGGTGTATGAAGTTTTTTGGTTTGCAGCTAGTAAGGGCAGGAAACTTGGCCATTCTTGATTTAACACATGATCTGGTAACTCCTTTCTTCCTTTTTCTGTGGTTATTTCTTTGTCTGCTAAAAGACAAAGACATTAAATGTAAAACGGAAGTACATTAATAAAGCATTACATTTGAGAACATAAATGCGCAAACCAGAAGAAATTAAAATATTCCAGCAGCCATAATATTGTAACTCAACCACATTACAGATACTGCAAGCCACACATTTAGGAGCATAAACACTAGTCTTATAAATACATATGCCATTCTGTTAATGGGAACTTTAATTTTTGTATTTCCATGTCTGCAAATATTTGGTCTATCAATCTACTGCATTGGCAGTGATGTTACATTGTATGATTTGCCAAATGATGTAATGAGTACTGTAGGAAATTCACACAAGCAACCTTGAAAACACCTTTTCTTGCAAGTTGTGCTTACACTCACAAGAGTGACATTTGCTATCACAGATAAATTCCCATTGAAGCAGGGGTGAGGGAATCTGAAAAATGGTGGCATCATAATTTGCTTTTGATGGATTGAATATTTACAAATCACATTCACCAGTGTGAAGGTATTATGTGCAGTGCCTTTATGCCAAGGAGACCTTCCTTTGCTATTTTGTAATAGGGCTTTTTAAGGGAAGTTTAATAGCTCCCTATTTTATCTTTATACAGTCACAAAAATAGACTATTTGGTTTAGATTTAATATTCATAAATCAAAAATAGAAACATTTGTAAACCTTAGCCCAAAATCTTAGATCTTACTGGGGGTAAATTTAAATAAACCTGATGTGTCTAAATCAAAACATTTTTAAACAAGATAATGCGAAAAATCTTTTAAGGATTCCTTTTTGAAATAACATCAAGCTGTAATATAATACTATTTTCGCCTAGGTGATAGGATATCTTATAATGTATCTCCTTATTATAATCCTCTCTTCTAATTTCCTCATGTCCTTTTTCATAGATTTTTGATAGATCACATTGGTGATCCAAGTAAACACAATTTGTTGCTATTGCTATGTCATGTAAGGCCATGATAGCTGATGTTTGACTGATGTCTTCCTGCCAAATTACCCTTGGTAACTCTAGGATGTTGTGCTTTGCTGTAAAAAGACAAAGTTGACATGATCCAGAAATGTCTACTTCCTAATGTCCAAAAAAAGGAAAAGGTGACACAACAGGATAATGGGCACTGTATGAAGTGAACATAAGTAACTGTGAATGATGTGCCTGCCATTACTCTCACAAATAACCCCAGTGGAATCAGTGGACATTTATACATGTGATCCGGGAGGCAGGGGTGGGGGGATGATGCTTTAATTAGAGCAGCTCCAAGTAGCAGCATCCCTATGGTGAAAAATGGCAGCAGCAGCTCTTTAACTAAAGCTCATTGAACAAGCTTTAGTTAAAGCGCCCCCACTGCCATCTTTCAGCCTGAGGATGCTGATATATGTGACACTGCAGTCTGCTGGAACATGGTAATTACCACACTCCAGCAGACTTGATTAAATTGAGTCTGCTTTGACGTATTATAATAACAGTGCATCGGAGCAGCCTCAACGTACATGTAAAGACAGTCAGTATGTCTATTTGCTTGAGTAGGGTTCTGCAGAACTGAAACTAAGCAGAGTGTACTGTCCACTGACTCTCACATTATAGGAACCTAAAACTATTATTTAATATCTTTTTGCCTATTAATTAAAATATTCATAAGAAAGTCTGCAGTTTTAATGGATTTTTCTCAGGTGAGAAAGTCAGAAATATCTGTCCAAGAATTATCTCAAATCTTTAAGTCTCATTTGAAGCTTTGTCAGCAGCGCACCTTGGTATACAAATTTCCACATTCTGTCATTGACTTTATTCCTCTTGACATTTCAATTCAGGCACTCTAATCTTCTCATCAAACCATCTCCATCTGGCAAGTCCAATTGGATTTTCTGTGTCTGTACTTCATTTCTTTATTTGCATTGCATCCTTGGTGGTTACCATCAAGAGGATCCTTAATTTACCATCTTATATGTTGACAGTAACTGTTTAATTTGCTGTACTATGTAGGCATCATTTTTGTTTGGTGCTGCTAATCTTCATTCAATAAATGTCTTTGCTCAGTATCTGCATTTTTATACTAGTGGGGATACTATGTACATTGTGCTGCTTGTTACAGTTTGTGTGAACTCTGGATAAAATTTTCCAAACTCTGAGCAACTTAGAAAGCAAATGAAAAGCAATGGCCCTTAAGCACCTAAGTCATTTTAAAAAAATAGAACTTAGTCTTCCAATTATTCCTTTTTTAAATTTTACCATTGCTTTTCATGGAAGTATGATAATACTAGAGACTGTAGTCAATCATAATATGGTCATTTTGTAACACAGCTCTGTCAAGGTGACTAAATCCTGTTCTGTAGCAAACTGCTATTCTGTCTTGGTCATCCTTTCTCAAATCTGTAAACCTTTCTGACTTATATAATGATGTTATTTATATGGTATTATTATAATGTGGACAAATATTCACTAGCTAACAACTAAAGCAAGGATACAAGCTAATTTTCACATAATAACTAAGCCAGAATTTGCGGTAAAGTCCCCAGAAATGAAATGCTTAGGCAAACAATCCAGCTTGCCTCCTAATCCTCCATCATGTACATTTTTCACTTACATTTAGTTTATACATTCCTTACAGAAAAAAGTGCATTGCCATGGAATATGTCACATGAAGGAAAACGTTTATTTAGAACTGGGGAAAAAAGTTTCTCAGGAAACAGTGTGAAATGTTTATACTGAAAATGTCGTCATTATTTAAGCATCAGCCTCGTCTTTTAAACTAAAATATATGTTGTGATTGGCAATCAGATCCATCCTAAAACTTGTATGTTCTCTTACTTTAGATACACTCCACTTGATTATGCTTTGCTTGGCGAACATCATGAGGTAATTCAGTTTATGTTGGAACATGGAGCTCTTTCTATAGCTGCCATACAAGACATTGCTGCCTTCAAAATCCAAGCTGTCTACAAAGGATACAAGGTTAGAAAGGCTTTCCAAGACAGAAAAAATCTTCTAATGAAGCATGAACAGCTGAGAAAAGATGCTGCTGCCAAGTAAGTCTGACACATGGAGAATGCAAAACTAAAGGTATTAAAAGTTGAATTGTTAAAGACCATAGTAGTTTACGAATGTATTGTTGCTAATTTTATGTCTTTTAGAAATATAAAGTTCTTATTCTCTTGAAGGAAAAAATCCATATTCTGTCACTTGTTGTGTGGGTAGATAAAGCTTATATATTTTTCTTTTATTTATGTACAGTACATATATAGTAAAATACCTCTAAGACTGTTATCATTCCTATAACAATGAATAGTTATGATGAACTTATGTTAGAGAGAAAAGTCTGTTTTCCTTTTCTTCCAGGACCTATTCTTCCTAAGAAATATTTTCTCCAGATCTCTGTCTCACTTGTTCTGCACTTCAGAGTTTAGGAAGTAAAGAGAAACTTCCTAACCAGCCAGCTTCTGATGACTTGCCTGTAACAGTCTGGCTCTCTATAATCCCTGTTACCTGTTTGTTTCAGTATTCCTTCTTTTAAAATAGTACCTAATGGGAGTATAGTGAACAAAAGGTAGAAGACAGAATGTTGACAGGGAGCAGGGTATGTGTGATGAATAGACAAAACACAAGAGAATGGGGAGAAGCATGAAGTGATGAAATACAAGTTGCTGAAAGGAAAATAACTTAAATTTGCAATTTAAATAGACTTTCGCCTGAAAAAGAGACCGCTAGTGTAGAATAGGAAACAGAACTTTTAAAATTGTCTTTTTGTGGTGTGCAGATATAAAATGATTTCTACCATCCCATAATGTTTAAGCTTTGATTGTTAAGGCCATTGTGTCTGCCAATTCATAGCAGCAGCATGAAGCTAAAATAGTAATTAGCCAAGTAACATGCTAAATTAAAAGATAGTAGAAATTGATCAAATAAAAGAAGCTCTCCAATCATCTGCACTGTATTTGACATCTCCATCCTATCTAAGCTACACAGAAAATTTCTGTAGCATCCATCACTAGAAACATCCATCTAACTAAAGCATCTGCATGGCAGTTGCTCTTAGTGGACATGATGAAGGATTTCACCCTTCACACTTTCCAGATAATTCTAGCAAATGGTGATAGGAGTGGGGGTTGTAGTGCTCTCTGGCTTTCTTGAAGAGCTTGCTCCATATCTTGTTTTTCTTGATCTGTTATCCAAAAAAATGAGGTATGCTTATAAATTTTGCACTTTGAATGTTTGATTTTGACTTTTGTAAATGAAGTTTCTGACTATTATTTACAGGACAATATGAGTTAGTTTTGTGAGAATGAATATTGGGTAGGTAAGAAATTAATTTTTGTTTGTTACTAAATAAGTTGTGTCAACATGAAGCTTTGTAACCTGCTCTACAAAAGAATACAGGTAGAATTTCATCACTTGACTGGGTCAAATAGAGTTGAAATGACATGAGGTGGTGTTGCAGGTTACCTTTAAACCGTTCTAAAGTCACTTAAAACAGGAGTGTCCATGCATTGAGGGGTGTTAAACTGTACTAAATAATCTCTAGGCATCTTAAAATTATGCCACTTTGGGTGAGGGTTATCTTTGAGCCATTCTACCTAGCTTGAGCTAAGGTACTATGAGTCTGCTTCACAGAGATAAAGTGACCAATTTGCAGGCATCTAGCATCCTGCCCCTCTACCACTTTCTACCCTCCTAAGCTCTACTGTTCAGGGTATGATACTGGTCCCAAGCTAACACCTTCACCTGCCCACAGTGATTGTGACCCCAGCCCAGATGGCATTATGCTGCCACATCCAAGGACCCAAAGAGAGCCATTTTAGTCCCCTGGGCCAAGGGCCAGGCCCACAGTCCTCCCTTCAGAGGGCTATACCTTTATCCAACATTCAGGTGCCTAGCCAAGAGAATCTAGATGGGGGAGAGGTGGGTATGGCTTCCCTCCTCAGCCTCCTGTGTTTTGGGGGAGAGGGGGAAAAGGGCTGCCTGGGATGAAGTATGGCAAGAGCCTGGAGCCTGGGAAAGCATGCTTCCCTTGGGGTCCATGATATCTCCGTGGCTAACCCCCAGCAGCTCTGCACTGGGAGTGGAGCCACCAGGTGGCAAGAGAATGGAGCCTAGTGAGCCACGGATCCCGGGCTCCTTGCTCTCATCTTGTTTAACACCCAGGACTCCATTCCCAGATGAGGGATACAGTTTTGGCTCTTGGCCACACCCCTGCTCGCCAGGCCCTCTAGTGTCATCTTTTGCAATTGGAGAACTAGAGTGAAATTAACATATTAGGTTAGAAAGCAGTCAGGCTAAATAACCTGTACAATTCAAAGATATGCATAAAATCTGAAGAATAAGAGTGACTGTCTATCTTATATAATTGACATCATGGCAGTAGTATGGTCAGATTATATAATGTGAATAAAGCTATTTAGTGAAGAGGTGAACTTAATCAGAATACTTTGGTTGCATCTTCTATCAAACACTTAAAATACAATACGTAGTGCTTTATACACTGAATTTCCATAATCTCCAAAACAGATATATTAAAGGCACCACTTCCTGCCTCAGAAAGCACCCAAAAACATTCACCTATTTTCTTCTTTCCTGCTTCAATGACCAATAATCCAAAATTGCAACCCCAAACTATACCACAAAATGTTTCCTTCCACATCTATAAAACAAGCTAAACAAAACTGACAAAGATGATCACAGGCCCAAAGAGCAGCCCTCCATGTACCATAGGTCAAAAATATTTTGAGTCACAATCACATATTTCAGTCATCCAGGGGGGTTGTGTGATTTATTTCCATTAATTGTATGAAGACTGTGACCAAGGGTGGTTTTGAAAATCTTAACCCAAAAGAGTTCACAGAAGCTTTTCAACATGTTTACCTCTAGTAGGATATTCATAATGGACATCCTTATATCTCAGTAGCAAGGGAACTATTCTCAGACCTTCATCAGATATTTGGAGTAGAGAACTTTTCTTCTTAAACTTCCTACTTTGTTTGAAAACTACCAATATTTGACTTTATTCTTGCTGAATTATATCTTCTCTGATTAATTCTGCTGCTGAAGTGAAAAACATAAGAACCTAAAACCACTAGCTATTATATTGTTCTGTATCTGTGTGCTATTCCTTCTGCGGAGAGGTCACAAAGAGCAGATACTATGAAGCTATGTAGCCTCTATAACATCTCCATTTTATGACGTAGATCAGGGCTGTCCAGCTTCTAAGCCTCTGGGAGCCACACCAGTGGGAACTGCATGTCATATGAGCTGCACCAAGAAAAATGTAGGATGCTGGGCCATGTAGACACACCCCACCTTGGTGTTCCACATGCCTGCACAGGCACCCTGCATACCGTTGCACTGGGTGTCTCCCCACTGCTGCACCATGCAGATGTGATTCCTCCTCCTCCTGCAGCAATGTATGTATGCATGAGCACCCCCCATAGCTGCACTGAGAACCCCCACATTGCTGCCTTGCACGAGTGCAATCTCCACCACCTCCATGCAGCCCCAATCCCCACCCTTGTATGGGACTGGGACTCACTCTCAGCTCCCTGCACTGTGCTGGACAGCCCTGCCAACCGGGGTGAGGACAGGAAGCATCAGCCAGAAGAGGGAGGTAGAGCCCAGAGGGTTGTAGCCAGAGGAATGAGGTCAATGCCAGCTGTGCAAGAGCCCAGGGGCTGTAATTTAACCCCTCACAGCTGCATAAGGACTACAGGCTACCAGCTGGAGAGCCCAGACATAGATGAGGACAGCTGTAATTGGCTATATTTTTTACACATTAGTAATGGTACATCTTGCAACTGGAGAATGTGCTGTCTTTGGATAAAGTTTGAATACCACTGCTGTAGTAATTTAGTTCTATATGGACAATGAGGACCAGTAATACCAAAGGTAAAAAGCCAAGCTTCAAAAATTATTGTTGACTTCAGTGATACCTGAAGTGCAGTCTGCATGTGAAATTCCTATAGGATTTAATGGCAGATCCATACATAGAAGAGCTACCTTTTATGAGAATATCTTGAACATCTGATTTTTTTTTTACATGGAATATGGTATTTCATTGTGTGTGATTAAATCTGATTTTACCATTTTTGGGGGAGGGGGGAGATCAAAATAATTTGAATAATCTGTGATACCCTTATAAAAGGTCATAAAACATGATTCTGTCATTATGATCTGTGAGTATTTTTGTCATCACTTTCCTTTATGATTTCTTAAGTTATTTTATAAAACTTATGAAACTGCCACTAGTTGGATGTAAATAGAAGACAAAGTCTCTATACCAAATATAGAAAATTATTTTAAAAAATTGAATTGAAACACAATTGGAATATACAGGCATAACAAGTTGTCACATATAACAAGCTTTATCTAACTGCAATTTTATGATCTGTTATAAACTTGGGAGGGATGTTTTTTCACCATTCTGTGGATCCATCTGCGCATTCCGCAGTTCTGCTTGGCAAATGCATTGCTCCTAGATACAGAAGTGCCAGCTAATATCTCTCCTGATTTGATGAATCTGCTTACCAGAGAAATGCATACTGTATTGGAAATCCTGCATGATGCTGAGCTGCTGCATAGGTTAATCAGATTTTAATTTCTGTTAAATACAGAAAATCCCTTCCCCAGTAGTATATTTTAAACATTGGTATTGCTTGTATAAATCATCCTAAAAATCAAAATTTTCTGAATTTTTTTATTCTAAAAATTGGATACTGACCTAAAAACAATAAGGGTAGAGGATAATAGTTAAGGTAACACCAACAGAAAGAAATATTTAATCACTCAGAATTTACCCAACTACAATGTTAGAAGTGAAAGCAAATACTGTATATGACATTAAAAATGTTGCATAATTTTGTAACTGCTAATAACATCTGTAGATATCTAAATTCAGGATAAGAATGATTCAGTAGCATTCTTTAGTACAGGGGTTTTCAACCTTTTTGTATCATTGTACCCCCCAGTAGCCAGATGTGAAGCAGTGTACTCCTGGACGCTGAGCACAGGGGAGGGGGTGTGCATGCAGAGTGGCAGCAGC